CAATGTCCTTTTAAACTCGACCAGGGGGCAGAAATATTAGACCTGTGTCCTACTTAAACACAAAACCTTCCTCATTCAATGAAAAGTCATTATATTTTTTCTTCCTTTGAGATAACGGAAAAAGTCAGTGAATCAATGTTTATCAACATGTATTTGTTAAATGCAGCTGTCTAAAATATTGATAGTCGTGGTTTCCTTTTCGATTATCGATCCTCTAAGACATGGGTTTTTAACTTTGTCAAGATCGTGGTTCAAATTCACTTTCTTGTCGATTCGCGGGCCGCACGTTTGTAAACTAGGACAACTTATGAGAACTTCATTGCATTTTATTAAAATGTTGCTAGCACACTAATAGGTTTGCAAATTATCCAGTAATTTTCTTTTAACAATTAGTCTTTAGTGATATATTTGACATTGTTCGTATTCATCCCTGTAAGTGTCCATCAGAAATACAAGTTCTGGTTGTATATTTCATGTTCTACATTAAGCTGCAGTCTACAGTTGCTCACAGCTAAACGCAGTGACAATATTAACGACATTAACAAAACAATTATTTATAGCAGAGAAAGATTTTTTTGTCTTACAAACTGGCACGGTAAGAACACTATAAATATTACACGGGCGGTGTATTAAAAATTCTAGCTCTAAGAGAATTAATTCCGTGTTGGAACTTGTAACGTTGTGTGTCGAAAATTAATAACCACGCCACGCAGAGGTATAACTCCACTAATTCTTGACGTCGCCACTAGGTAGCGTGAGTGATCAGCTTCAAGTCCCGGCCTCTGAGAAATAGAACAGGTCTGAAAACAGTGATCTTATTAATGAAACGGTAATGATGTCTGATGAATTTCTTGTAGAGGTTTGAAACTAACATTTCTAGACACAGGCTGTAGACCTACTGTTGAATGTAAGTTGTTTGTAAATACAGTCAAGAATTATGGGAAAATTCTAAAGCAATAAACACATACATGCTCATATTTGTTATCACATCAGGTCAAAAATTCCTTAACAGCATTACAGACCCTAACACATACAGGGAAAATACTGATTTTAAAAAATTACCACCAACAATCCAGTATATATATATATATATATAATATATATAAATGACTTTTAATGAGGTACTTTGGCAGTAAGATACTGGGATACTGGGAATGACCCGTTCTTCAAGTGCCTGAGCACTGCAGGTCCCAACTTTTTCGTTAGCTTTGATCTAATAGACAGTTGGTAGGACTCCTTGGACGAGGGATTGGCCCGTCGCAAGGCCTCTACCTGTACACAGGACAGCACAACACAGAAAAACGCGGACAAACATCCATGGCTTCAGTGGGATTCGAACCTACGGTCCCAGCGACCAAGCGGCACAAAGCCCACGCCGCTGACCGCGAGGCCACTGCGATACCTACTTTGGCAGTAAGAATACATTTAATATAACTAATTCTACGTGAACCACAGAAGCTAGATCTGTATCAGGTTTATGAACTCTACGCAAATAATGGAGTGTAATGGAGTATAAAAGGCATAATTTCTTTCTTCCAGGTTTTGGTATTCTGTTCCCATTGGCAATAATCAAGGGTGAGTAAATATGTTTTCTTCTAAAATTAATTTTTGATCTCATTATTGTGTAAAACGTTTGAAAGATTTAACTTAATGTGGCAAAATTGTTAAAGATAAATTAATGTTACGTACGTATAAATATTAATTAATGTTGTATTAAAAATATTTGTTAATACGTCAAAGATATAAATTACTACTCAAACTAATAACGTTTTATCAAATTTTCGTAAACACTTTTTATATCACATCTTAAATTGACATTTCAGAAAGGTTCGTATTCTGCACTATGAAAACTATTGTAATGTGGACCATTTTTAGTCTGCTGATTTTTCGTTCAAAAAAAAAGTTTTGATGTATCCCTACTTTAAAAGCTGCTACTATTTTCTTACTTAGAAACACCTTTTCTTATCAGGATAAAATAACTAGTATTGAAAGTAACTACTTTGTTGAAGAAAAATAACTTTTCTCTGAGAACAGCCAAGTGTAGGTCGGAAATGAAGCCCCTAACGCAGGCCCGAGGTATGATAATGTGCTGCTTGGTCAGGGTTATCGCACATTTCATGGGGCGGTGATAGATGAATATGTAGCAGTGCTAGAATGATAATTAGGAGGGGAAAACTGAAGAAGCCAGAGAAATCTGCTCTATTAACACTTAGTCCAACACGAATTTCATTTAATGTTAACCGGAATTGAATATTTTCTTTGAAGATTTCTGTCTTCTGGGTTGTTGCGCTGATGACGGAGGCAGTATGACCTCTGCAACGTTGTTAAACATCGACTAGACTACACAGCGCAACAACCCAGAAGACAGAAATCTTCATACTCATCGCCCTGATGACGGAGGCAGTATGACCTCTGCAACGTTGTTAAACATCGACTAGACTACACAGCGCAACAACCCAGAAGACAGAAATCTTCATACTCATCGCCCTGATGACGGAGGCAGTATGACCTCTGCAACGTTGTTAAACATCGACTAGACTACACAGCGCAACAACCCAGAAGACAGAAATCTTCATACTCATCGCCCTGATGACGGAGGCAGTATGACCTCTGCAACGTTGTTAAACATCGACTAGACTACACAGCGCAACAACCCAGAAGACAGAAATCTTCATACTCATCGCCCTGATGACGGAGGCAGTATGACCTCTGCAACGTTGTTAAACATCGACTAGACTACACAGCGCAACAACCCAGAAGACAGAAATCTTCATACTCATCGCCCTGATGACGGAGGCAGTATGACCTCTGCAACGTTGTTAAACATCGACTAGACTACACAGCGCAACAACCCAGAAGACAGAAATCTTCATACTCATCGCCCTGATGACGGAGGCAGTATGACCTCTGCAACGTTGTTAAACATCGACTAGACTACACAGCGCAACAACCCAGAAGACAGAAATCTTCATACTCATCGCCCTGATGACGGAGGCAGTATGACCTCTGCAACGTTGTTAAACATCGACTAGACTACACAGCGCAACAACCCAGAAGACAGAAATCTTCATACTCATCGCCCTGATGACGGAGGCAGTATGACCTCTGCAACGTTGTTAAACATCGACTAGACTACACAGCGCAACAACCCAGAAGACAGAAATCTTCATACTCATCGCCCTGATGACGGAGGCAGTATGACCTCTGCAACGTTGTTAAACATCGACTAGACTACACAGCGCAACAACCCAGAAGACAGAAATCTTCATACTCATCGCCCTGATGACGGAGGCAGTATGACCTCTGCAACGTTGTTAAACATCGACTAGACTACACAGCGCAACAACCCAGAAGACAGAAATCTTCATACTCATCGCCCTGATGACGGAGGCAGTATGACCTCTGCAACGTTGTTAAACATCGACTAGACTACACAGCGCAACAACCCAGAAGACAGAAATCTTCATACTCATCGCCCTGATGACGGAGGCAGTATGACCTCTGCAACGTTGTTAAACATCGACTAGACTACACAGCGCAACAACCCAGAAGACAGAAATCTTCATACTCATCGCCCTGATGACGGAGGCAGTATGACCTCTGCAACGTTGTTAAACATCGACTAGACTACACAGCGCAACAACCCAGAAGACAGAAATCTTCATACTCATCGCCCTGATGACGGAGGCAGTATGACCTCTGCAACGTTGTTAAACATCGACTAGACTACACAGCGCAACAACCCAGAAGACAGAAATCTTCATACTCATCGCCCTGATGACGGAGGCAGTATGACCTCTGCAACGTTGTTAAACATCGACTAGACTACACAGCGCAACAACCCAGAAGACAGAAATCTTCATACTCACCGCTGTGAAAACCCCAAGTCTTACATTCTATATTATTCTTTCTTTGCCATTAGAAGCCAACTTCTAACCGCCTAAGTTATGGTATTACCTGTTTTTGTTCTACTGCTGTTTTCTGAATTCTATAATTTAATTAATCTATTGAGTTTGTTTCTCCTTGATTCCTCATCATATAAAATAGCAACTGTTATTTGATTAAGTAAGCCTGGAAACTTGTAATCCGTATACACACACACGAGTTCCCTGCAAATTCTGAATTAGTAATAGAAGATTACGTCAGTTATCTCACTTCAACTTTAGTTTTAAACTATACAAATCACGAGGCCTTAAGTATTTTAAGTACTGTAAAGTAATAGTAATACGTCATAATGTGCCTTTGATATTTGATAGCATATTAGACTAATATGCATGGGGTGGTAGGATTGATTTCCGGTCAAGTTGAAGAACTTTCTTTTATGTAGCCGCCATGTTATTTTACATTACTATAATATTATTATGTAAAAGATTTTATTTTTGTAATTCTATAACCATACATCATTACAGTCATTAACTTCACGGGTGTAGTATTATTATTTAATTAAATTACATTGTTTGTAATTGACTGCGTAGTTTCAAACTTTACATAGATTTTTACGAAACTTCAAGTTTTAATTTAATAAACTCTGAAATGACCTATATGTTACTTTGTTCCGTATTTCTCCATAAGCGTTATAGCTATACGGATTACTTTGTACAAGTAGGTTAATTGAGATGTGTATGGACGAGGTATATAGTAGAGTTCGTATAGGTAAACTTCTGTCGGATCCCTTCCCAGTGCACAGTCATAAAAAAAGTCAGAGGAAATCAGGAAGGACTCGAATTGAATGGTTTGCATCAGGTACTTGCCTATGCTGATGCTGTCAATTTGGTGAAGGATGGTGTGGGTACCAGAAACAAGAATGCAGAAACGTTCCTACAGGATAGCAAAGAAATAGGCCTGGAAGTAAATGTATACAAACCTAAATATATGGGCGCAATACGAGATCAATATCAGAAACAATGGCGGAACATAATTATAAGTAAAATGTCATTTGAAAATGTTTACAAATTTAAGTAACTGGGAACAACAATAACAAATAGAAATGAGGTCCATAATGAAATTAAGAGTAGAATTTATTCGGGAAACGCTTGTTTTTATCCAATTCAAAAACTGTTATCATCTCATTTACTATCCAAAACACTGAAGATCAGGATATATAAAACAATAATTTTTCTTGTTGTGTAGTATGCCTCTGAAACATGGTCTCTGACTATGAAGGAAGAAGGTAGATTACAAGTGTTTGAAAACTAGGTGGTCAGAAGGATATTTGGACCTAGGAATGATGAAGTAACTGGTGAAATTAGACTATTGCATAACAAGAAACAGCGTGAATTATACAGGTCGCCTAGCATAGTGAGGATAGTGAAATTTAGGAGGCTAAGATGGACTGGATATGTAGCACGCGTGGGGAGGCAAGGGGTTAATACAGAATTCTGGTGGGGAATACTTCTGGAAAACGACCACTGGGCAGACCAAGGAGATGGGAGGATATCAAGAAGGATCTTAGGGAAGTGGGCTGTGAGGATGGAGTTGGATCAGGATCGTGTCCGGTGGTGGACTTTGGTGTTGTCGGTGTTGGTATTCCGGGTTCTACTACCAGGGAGTTGATACGCGGTTAAATGCACATAACTTCGATGATGGATTTATGCTACTTTGCTCCAAGTCTTCCATTGTCTGTTCTCGATTCTAAGGGCAGCTTCACACTGAAAAAAAATGGCCAATTTAAAAAATAGTTGCGAGTAAGTCACGAGAAACATCAGTAAAATATTTTTTAACGTTTTTAACAAAAAATGCATTGAACCTTAGACATGGCCTTATTGGAGATGTTTAAGTCTTTTACTTTATTTTGTGAGAATACGCATTTCTAAGAAGGAGCATCTGGTGATTGGATAACATTTAATAATCAGAGAATTTATAATTTTTTTGATTGGGTGACACCAGCATGGGTAATTTACACACATGGTTACCAAAAGAGTTTTCAAGGTCACTTCTACAAAATGCTTGTTATTGTCGTCAGATTTAAATAAAAATTGTAATGAATTTTGTTAAATGTCAGTAACATTTCTTAGTATCATATATGAATATACGTTCAGCAGTTTTGCAGTTACAGTCCTAAACGCGGACAAACATGGCGAAGCTGTGGGATCATTGTTTTGAAAATAGTCGCGAAAACATAATAAATATGTAAAGGTGACGTTGTGTATACACAAGTATATGAAGTTCAATATAAATCCAAACACTGGATCCTGTATTTTTATTCGGGATACAAACATGGACACTTGTCACAATAATCCTGAATCACCTTATGACACAACAAAAGTAAAATATAAAATATTCCAGTTGATTACTGACTGTGAAAGTGTAGTATGGAACATGCCCTTTCTATGAATATTTTCTGTAACATTAAGAGCAAAGTATTCGAGAAATTAATAGTCTCTCAGCTAGGAATAAATTCAAAGTCAAAGGTCTATTATCGTATTCACAAGACCCTACTGTTGTCCTTTGTCTTGACCTAGATTTAAAACAGATGTTTGAATTAAAGTTTTAAGTGCAGAAAGGATGGGATTCCTATTGGGAAAAAACTGCAAAAAAACATGTTTACAAATTTAAATTAAATTTTATGTCTCCTAACTTCCTCATGACATGTGTTACTAAACAAGAGCTTTAATGATACTATCCCGTCACACATTACAAAGATATTGTTAAAGATTTGAAACCAAAAGAGCATTGGAACTACATCATTCTAACAGTGAAATCCCTAAATCCGAACAAATATGCAAATATTTTCTTTTAATAGTGGAATCTCCTCGTTGTCGCTTGGAACCTCAACATGTCTTGGCCCATTTCCACTCCAACAATCAAAATAATGACCCAAGCCACGAAATTAATTTGCCGATACATCGGGCAACTGTTTGCATTGGAGAATTAAATTCTGTGTTATCGTTTTTCAGCAACTTACTCGTAATCATAGACGTTCTGCGTGCTGAAAAGGTTGTATATTTCATCATCCGGCTCATAGGCTCTGTTCAAGAAGATCTGTTGACTGCTCCTAACAATGCTTTCAGCATTCTCCCTGGAATCACAAGTTTGTTACTGCATCATTAATATCATTTTCTTAATACAGCTACTGATTATCTCTTTTAAGAAGCGTAATATAGGCGTTATAGTTTTTGCATTGCAAGGTGACACAACGTAATAATTATATCTTGTTTAATTATTTCTAAAACAGTTAAAGTTTGAGGAAGATGTGTTTCAGTTTTACACGAATTTTGTTCCAAATATTTTTTAGCTGCAATAAACATGAACCAAATTAAGACTGAGGCAAGAGCAGGTCTTCATTTAAAGTGTTTTTTAATGATTTTAACCAAATCTGAAATGTGTGTATATTTTAGTAAAACTCCCCAATATTAAATTTAACAAAAATTCATTAAGTAGTTCTCGAGTTCTACATGCGGATAGACGGACTGGCATTTAGATATGGCGAAGTTAATGAAACTTTCTGTTAAGTATGCTTCAGTATTAACGACAATGGTGTTTTCGTCTACTTGATACTTCGCCCTTTCTATTACGGTAATAATAGTAATGATTCTTACCTGTTTATCCGCCATGCAAGGACGAGAATTAAGATAAAGACCAGCAGGATGGCAAAACAAAGGATCGCGGTAATAATGAACAGCACACTGCTCAGATCCTCAATTTCAAACTTCAAATTGGCGATGTCCGTTTTATCAAATGTGAAGTTCTGAAGGCACAAACAACATTTGTAGAAGCTCCCGCACATGGTTATCATACGAGGTTTATGATTTTTTAAACTATCTCTTTGGAACATATCCCTTCTTGAACAATACTGGAAATGTGTACGCTTTGGAGTACATTAACATTCCAAAGGCGTTCTTCATACTACTTAGATCGTAGTTGAACTGACATGAACCAAGGTCTTAGGTTTTAGGTCATGGAAGTTGAATCCCGTTTAAGAACAGTGACCCTTGCTTAAGCAGGTTCAAAAGCCCCACAACAAGTTCTCCATCCCCCTCAGGTCCAGATATTCTCATCACACTGTTCTTAAATACGCTAAATCAGTGTTTTTCCATTAACATGAAAGATCAAGTTTCACGCCCATACAAAACAGCAGGTAAAATTATAGTTGTTTACATGTTAATTTCTTGTACAAGTTATAGATTCCCGGCGGTGCCCGAATTTATAACTTGTGTTGGGCAAGGCCGTGGTTTAGGCAACACGGAGTTTTCCTCCAGGGGCTTCCCCGGTTTCTCCGTGGCATCCCAACAATTACTCCATTCACACACAGAAGAAGGCAATGGCAAACCACTTCTGGATCATCTGCCAAGAACGTATATGAACAGGTCCCAGTCCGAGAAAAGGATGGAAGGATCCTGTTCATTTGGACCTGTCGTCAGACAGAACACTAAATAATAATAATAATAATATAATAATAATAACCAGTTTTGGAGACATTTCTGAACAGGTGATAGCAAGGATTTTCCGAGATTGGTATTTTGTTTATTTTTTGTGAATGCAAATAACGAATTTGGGCATATTTTCAAGGCTACATTAGTATTATGTAAGACTATGTCCTGCGTTGTGGCAGCGAAATTTAAACGTATACTTAGTTTCTCCTTCTGGACAAACCCTGTTACTAGCTTCTGAATAAGCTAATATGTCCCATTCAGTTCCAAGCCTCCTTGTTTTCTTATGCATTTCTAAAAAAAAAATTATAGCAAAGTTGAATAGTTACAACAATAGGTACCTTTATGCTTGAATTCAAAATAAATAGGAAATATGTGAGAATTCTTTGCATACGGTATGCCGATTTAATTTTAGGTTTGTTTAAAAACATTTTAATTGGCCCAAATGGCTTTATAATCATAACAAAGTCAATCATAATCTTTTATAATACTTCCCTTTTAACTGAATTAACCATTTAAACCCAAGAGGGAGCAATATATTCCACTTGCTTTAAGAATCGTTAACGTTACGATCTCGACAGGTTTGTTGATTTTTTGTCTTTAAGCAAATGTTGAGATGGTTCCCAATTTCCATGTAGGCACTGCACGTTTCTCAGCAGCCCTCCCAATTTCAATTAATCCAATTTTTACCCCCTTGCTGAGTCTACTAAATTACTTAACCTTCCAAATTATAATTACATTTATGTTTCGCTAATCATAACTCCGTATTTACTCTTATTCTATCCTTATCAGAAGGACGAGTGTGCATTGCCTGGGAACCATCTGACAGTATGATGCTCTTTCTACCTCACATTTTCCTCCATT